CAGTATACTGACAGAGAACTTCCAGAAATGTAAGCTGGATTTAGAAGAGGACATGGAACAAGGGATATCACAACTGATGTCTGGTGGAACTTGTCTCAAAGCAAAGAATACCAGAAGGATGTTTACTTATGTTTTATTGACTATGCAAAAGCATTCAAGTGTGTGGATCTTAAAGAAGTATGGATAACACTGAGAAGAATGGGAATTCCAAAACACTTAACTGTACTCATAAGGAACCTGTACAAAGAACTGGAAGCTATCAACTCTAACAGAACAAGGGGATACTACGTGGTTTAAAATCAGAAGGGAGTGCATCAGGGTTGTATTCTTTCACCACGCTTATTCAATCTGTATGCTGAGCACATAACCTAAGAAGCTGGACTATAGAAAGAACGGGGCATCAGGATTGGAGGCTCAATGACAACCTGCAATACACAGAATACACAACTTCAGTTACTGAAAGTGAGGATGACTTGAAGCACTTACTGATGAAGACTGAAGACTACAGTTTGCAGTATGGATTGTTGTTGTTGTTATGTGCCGTCGAGTCGGACCTGACTCATAGCGACCCCTCCTTGGGTTTCCGAGGCAGTATCGCTACGGAAGTAGATTGCCCAATCCAGTATGGATTACAAGGAAAAAAAAAAAAAAAAACTCACCATGTCAAGTCGGTCCCAACTCATAGCGACCCCTCCTTGGGTTTCCGAGGCGGTATCGCTATGGAAGTAGATTGCCCAACCTTCCTTCCAAGGAGTGGCTGGTGGATTTGAACCACCAGCCTTCTGGTTAGCAGTCAAATGTCTTAGGCACTATGCCACCAGAGCTCCCAGTATGGATTACACCTCAATATAAAGAAAACAAAAGTCCTCACAACTAGACCAATAAGCAGCATCACGAGACGAGGAGGAAAGACTGAAGCTGTCAAGGACTTCATATTACTTGGTTCTACAGTGAACACCAATGCAAGCACCAGTCAAGACATCAGAAGACATACTGCATTGTGTAAATCTGCTGCAAAAGACCTCTTTCAAATGCTGAAAATCAACGATGTCTCCTTGAAGACTAAAAGTACACCTAAACCCAAGCCATGGTATTTTCAATCACCTCATATGCATGTGAGAGCTGGACAACAAATAAGGAAGACCAAAGAAGAGTTGATGCTTTTGAGTTGTGGTGCTGGCGAAGAATACCGAGAGTACCATGGACTGCTGAAAGAACTAACAAATGTGTTCTGGAAGAAGTACAGCTGGAATGCTCCTTGGCAGTGAGAATGGTCAGACTTCATCTCACCTATTTTGGTCATGTTGTCAGAAGGGACCATTCCCTGGAGAAGGATGTCATGCTTGGTGGGGTGGAGGGTCGATGAAAGAAGGGGAGGCCTTCAATGAGATGGATTGATACGGTGGCTGCAATGATGGGCTCAAGTATAGCAGGGATTGTGGGGCTGGCAGGGGATCAGGCAGTGTTTCGTTCTGCTGTGCATGGGGTCGCTATGAGTCAGAAACGACTCGACAGCACTTAACAACAACAACAACTACTCTTGTCAGGGCAGAACGATGTAAAATAAGGTGCATGGAACCCTAATGTGGGTTGGCATCTGGGAAGTTGCTTTTCAGGAGGGTTTTCAACCTTTACTAAAACTAGTAAGAGTGGCTCATATGCCTAAACTGTTTACACAAATCACATCGTTACGGGGAATGGTTTGTTTTCCTTCTAAAAGTCTGGAATTTTGGTATGTTCCAGGCAGACCAAAACAAAACTCGTTGCCATCGAGTCCGTAGCAATCCTACAGAACAGAGTAGAATGGCCCCATTCAGTTTCCAAGGCTATCTATCTTTACACAAACAAACTGCCACATCTTTTTCCCATGGAGCAACTGATGGGTTCAAACCACTGACCTTTTGGTTAGCAGCCCAGCCCTTAACGACTGCACCACCAGGACTGCTTGCCTACATGACCAGCCCCTGATAAAAACCCTGGTGCTGAGTCTTTAATGAGCTTTGTTGGTTAATAACATTTCACAGTGTGTTGTCACAACTTGTTGCCAGGAGAATTTAAGTATATCCTATGTGATTCCACTAGGCGAGGACTTTACAACCTTAAGTTTGTTTTCCCCCCCCCGACTTCCTTACACATGCCTGTTCCCTGTGCTGATTATGCTTTGTATCCTCTTGCTGTAATAAATAATAGCCATGCTTATGCTTATATGTTGAGTTTTGTAAGTCTCGCAGTGAATTACCAAACCCGAACATGGTCTTAGGAACCTGCAGCACACCACCTTAAATTAGAAAAGAAAAAAAACCAGCAACAAAAATAAGCCAAAAAAAAAAGAAAAACCCACAGAAATAAATAAAACAATTGTTGGTGGAATTCAAGAAAAGAATTTTTTTAAATGATCAGAAATAAAAACTAAATTACAAAATGCTCATAAAAGAACACATTTACAGAAGAACGTTTGAATGGAAATGAAGTAAGGCAGGACACGATCTCGAAGATAAAAATGAGATAAAAAAGTGGGTAAAATGAGAGATAAAAAGAATGGATATATGCATTATTAGGGAGCTCTGATGGCATAGTGCCTAAGGCATTTGACTGCTAACCAGAAGGCTGGCATTTCAAACCTACCAGGCACTCCTCCGAAGGAAGACTGGGCAATCTACTTTTGTAGAGAGAGCCTCGGAACCCAAGGAGGGGGTCATTTATTATTGTTGTTGTTGTTATTTGCCGTCGAGTCGGACCCAACTCATAGCGACCCCTCCTTGGGTTTCCGAGGCAGTATCACTATGGAAGTAGATTGCCCCATCTTCCTTCCAAGGAGTGTCTGGTGAGTTTGAAATGCCAGCCTTCTGGTTAGCAGTCAAGTGCCTTAGGCACTACACTACCAGAGCTCCCCATTTATTATTAATATCACAAAAAGAAGAAGAAAATGGAACTGCATTGAAATTTAAAGCTATAATCCAAGAAATAAAAGCACTGAATCTACACGATGAATAGACCAACCATCTATGTGGGAAAATTTACCTAAAATGATAAACTCTAAGACTACCTCACTAACAACCATTAGATTTTAAAGAAAAAGACAACAAAATTTAAAAATACAAAACAAGGTTGGCTTAATACTAGAAAATCTATTTGGTATAACACACTAATAGATCAAGAAGAAAAATCATAAGATGATCTCCAGAAATGCTAAAATAGTCTTTGACACATTCAACTTCTATTATTAAAAGTGATGGAAACATATCAAAAGGGCACAGCAACCAGTTTTAAGGCACCCCCACAGTCCTTTATGCTCAACAATTCAAACATCAAAATGATAGTAACGGATTGGATAAAAATAAGAATTCATAGCCCCTGCTGATATAACTAAAAGGAGGAAAGGGAAAGCTCTTCCTTATATTAAAACACTAGTTAATAATGTGGCAGGAATGATGGCATTAGAAAATTAACATTTGGTTATTATCAAAGAAACTACTAATTCTCACTTGATCATCACTGAACTCTGGTAGTATAGTGCCTAAGGCACTTGACTGCTAACCAGAAGGCTGGCGGTTTAAACCCACCAGCCACTCCTCGGAAGGAAGGTTGGGCATTCCTACTTCCGTAGTGATACTGCCTCGAAACCCAAGGAGGGGTCGCTATGAGTCGGGGCCGACTCGATGGCAAATAACAACAACAACAACATCACTGAACTAGCAAACTAGTGGGTTAAGGTGTGATGAGGAACAAGCTGTTTACACAGTCTCCATGTATTTTCCCACAGAAATTTCTGAATTACAAAGGGAAAATAGTAACTTTACGGTGAAGAAACTTGGTAGGCACCACCTTATCCAGGCAGATAGTATTGTAACCAATATCACCAATCATTTAACAGAAGGAATAAATTCAAGTCTCAAATCACATTATTTTCAATATTTTAATTTTAAAGGAAGTAGTACATTCTGTATTATAAAAATAACAGTTCTAATTAAAGAAAGATGAGAGAAATGTGAGACAGAACAAAACTCTTATTTAGGAACAGAAACTAAGAATGAAATCTAAGGTTGGGAAAGCCGAGACTGCAACAAGGGGAATGCAGGTCTCCAACTGCTCACTCAACCTCTTTCATCACTATTGCCTGTCGATAATGCAAAAAGGCCCTGTTAGCTTCTCGTACAAGACCTCTAAAGTGAAAGCTTACAGTATTTTATTTTAAAATTTGAAGAGAACCAAATTTGATTGGTTTTTCCAATTCAATAAAGCATGCGTCTAGAGTATAACTGACAAAAACAAACTTAGGACTATATTAAACAGGCATTTTTCAAAATGTAATTATGCTAAAAAAAATCTGAAGTTAGGTCATCATATTCCCAATTGTACCTTGAGCAAACTGTATTTATGGAAGCCCACTTTACAGGCTTACATGAAATAGAGTTGAGAATGTTAAATGGTTAATTACGTTAGATCATGATTAAGCAGAAAAAATGGAGAATGTTTTTTCTTCTCCACAAAATTCACAAGCAAAAATTTGAATATATTTTTTAAAGTAAGGAAAATATACTGGTCATTTTCTAGTATGATTAATGTTATTACTGCAAAAGTTATAGTACACAATAGCCTAACTTTTAAAATCTATTAATTAAAAAACTATGACTCAGTAAGTATGTGCAAGGTAATTCCTGATCTAGCAAAATTCTAGTTTGACAGTTATTTGCACAATCTATTACAGGAGTGCTTCTCTAATTTTTTAAAGCGGCAACACAACCTTTTTCCTAACAAACTGTTCCACAGAATCCCCAAGTGGAAAAACTGTCCTGGTTGAACTCAGGGTGAAGTACCTAGGAGATAAACGATGTTATGTTTCTCCCTTCCAGGTCTCCATTGGAAAATCTAGGCCTCTAGAGTTTGAGGACCAAACTGAAAAGCATTACCTTAAAGTATACTGTGAAGGATTGTGAATTATAAAGAAGATACCAATTAAGATAATTTTAGTAAAACAAAACTATCTTCAGTCCACTTACCTACATTCCACATATAAGCTTGTGATCTTGCAGTGACATTTTATTCTAAGCATTTGCACACAAGGAGGACATTCTCCAGGGTGACAGGGCAAAGCACATGGATGAGGACAACCCAGCGGACGTGATTTAGAGCACCCTTCTTCACAATGAAAGCATTCTGGGCCAGCCTAATAAATAGCAAAGGAAATATATCAGCTAAGAACAAAAGTCTAATATTTCTATATATTAAAGTTATAAAGTTAGAGTCACTGTGCCCTGTTACCCACTTATCTTAGAAATGCAGCTAAACAATGGTATGTGCTCTCATTCATCTTAAAAACATTCAAAATGGAGACTATCAATGTGGTAGTTATGTTTGTGTGCCAACTTTGCTGGGCCTGGTTGAGTGGCTGAGCAGCTGGTGGTAGCTATTCCCCATGATGAGACTGGCAATCAACTCCATGGGGGAAATAAGGAGCTGAATACTGCTTTAGGAATGTGGTCTGCTTCCTGTATATAAGCAGCCGCTTTGGGAATGGTCTCTAGCCTACGGCATGCTTGTTGTTCAGCAGCCTGCCATGCTCTGCCAACCTTGGGACTTAAAATGGACTTAAATTAATGCCCTGCCACATGGTTTGGTAACATCGGGACTGTGCCATTTTATTTGTCAAGCTTGAGCTTCTCAGCTTCAGCAGCCAGCAGCTGTCTGAGGGAAGAGATGCCTCTAGCTTCAGTGGGCTGGGACCTGGAGGCAGAGCAGAAGCCCAAAGCTGAGGGCCTTTCACCCAGCCCCTTAGAGCCTGGCACTTTGAACTTGGACTTAAAGCCTCCAAATTGTAAGAATAAACTCCTGTTGGTTAAGGCCATCCCATTTGTGATGTATTCCTGTCAGCAGCACTAGGTAACCAGAACAATCAATATCACCAATATGACTATTCAAATATTTTTATTTTAACCAAATTGCCTCATTATTTAAAATGAACTTGACTATGAGTGTCCCTGGTGAAAATTTAAATTACTTCCTAAAGAATAATCAGTGGCAGAAAAATACAGAATAAAATGTTTAAATCCATTTATACCCAACAAGCAAAATAATCATCAAAGTAAAGAAATAAGTACACTGTTAACACCTAAGTAAAATTTACCGAATCAGTCAACATTTTAGAAATATTTATCTCAACTTACCAACAAGAAACACAAAGATGGAAAAAGTTAGAACGACTGTAGTTTAATTTACTGAATATCCCATCCCTTGATGTAACTAAAATTAAGTTCCATTTAAAATTGAATATATTCAGTGTAACTTATTGAGGTATCTGTCTGCTCTAGTAATTTAATAATTTAACTAATATCAGTATCTACTAAAGAAGGTTATAGATTTTTATTGTTGGATATTGTATATTTTCACGTTATAGATGAGATAAAATAAGTCCAAGGACTGTAGACATGGATACTAGATCTTAATGGTTAATTTTTTTTTTTAACTACCTGTTATAGACTGAACTGTGTCCCGCTAAAAATATGCTTAAATCCTAACTTATGTACCTGTGGTTATAAACCCACTTGGGAATGGGTGTTTCTGCTGTGCTAATGAGACACTATTAGTGTAGGGTTTGTCTTAAATCAATCTCTTTTGAGTTATGAAATTAAACAAGTAAGTCAATGTAGCAGAGACAGGGGAAGAGAGATGCCAAGCCACATAAAGACTGCTCAGGAGCAGAAGCTCAAAAGAAAAAAGGACCTGCCCTCCAGAGCTGGCAGATAGCGAGCCTTCCCCTACAGCCAGCACCCTGAGTTCAGGCTTCTAGCCTCAACTATCAGAAAATAAAATAAAGCCACCCATTTGTGACACCACCATTCCTAAGTCCAGCCATGATTTCAATAATTAATAAAATTCTGAGCTATTTGACATTTACAATTAAATTTTTTTAAAAAAAGTGTTTCAATGAAAACATTTTATAAATAAATGTTTAATTTATTTTAAAAGGCATATTCATTTATTCCACACATATTTATTCAACATTTATGCACTACGCAAGCAGCACTGGTGGTACAAAGGTTAAATGCACCCACCAGTCACTCCACAGGAGAAACATGTGGCAATATGCTCCCGCGTAAAGATTTAGAGCCTTGGGAACCTATGAGGCAGTTCTACTCTGTCCTACAGAGTTGCTATGAATCAGAATTGATTCAACAACAATGGGTTCAGTTTGAGATGTACCAGGCATTGTTCCAAGCACTGTAATTGTTGTTGCTGTTATGTGCCGTTCCCCGTCGAGTCAGACTCGACTCACAGCCACCCCTCCTTGGGTTTCCAAGGTGGTATCACTACGGAAGTAGATTGCCCAAACTCCCTTCCGATTAGTGACTGCTAGGTTTGAACCACCAGCTTCTGGTTAGCAGTCAAGTGCCTTACGCACTACGCTACCAGAGCTCCTATTCCAAGTACTAAGTATATTAAAAACACAACACATCTCTAGTTCCATGGAACTTACATTTAAGGGCGGTAGGTAATGAGCATAATATAATGTCTTCATAAATATTATGAACAAAAAGCTAGATAAGAAAGTATGATGGCAGCAAAAGAAAGAAATCTGTCAGATTAAGTCCATACTTGAACTGAAATTGAGTTAAAAAAGGGAGAAAGCCCTAACAATAAAGAGTTCCACAGAACTTTGAGGTAAGAAAAAATTGTGGGAAGTTCAAATAGCAAAAACTGAACCAGAAGTAAGCAAGAAAGAGAGTGATGAGAAAAGAGGTAGGAAAGGGAGTCAGGAGATGGATCATAGCCTTACAGATCTAGGGAAGATCTCTGGATTTTATTCGGAGAGTGCTCAAAAGCTCCTGAAGGCTTTTGAGCAGGATGATGATGTCTGATTTATAGTTTTAAAAAAGATTAATCTGGTTGAGAGATGAAGTGGAAGCAGGAAGACTAATTAGTAAAATACCACAGAAATCTAAGAGGTGATGGTGACTTGGATGAAGATGTTAGTGGCAGAATGTAAGAGAAACGGTTAGATTCAGCACCTGCTTTCAAGATAAACTCTGCTTGTGGGTCAAGGGAAAGGAAGAAAAGAAATAATGAAATGAAGCTTAAGTTTTTTTTTCACTTATTCTGCATTAACCACATCTGCTAATATTATTATGATTCCCTATAGAATGGAAGTCTAGGAAAATACTAAAATTTTTTTTAAATAAAGCTTAGTATTATATAAAATGTAATTAACTGTATTTGCTTTTCCTCATAAAATTCTTAAGCAATTCTCGAATGGTTGATTCCTCATGTACTTTTAGTGAATTTCACACACACTTACACACCTATCTGTGATGCTATTCACTTTACTTTCCAACCAACAATTTGTTGGCACTGTGAACGTTATCTACCATACGTGCCAGCTTTGAACCATAGCTGAGGAGTGAATACTCCAGACTAGATAACTGAAAGGACAGAAGTGGAGCTGGCAATGCTAACTACCATCTTAAAAGATACATAATTTCTGAATTTGTATCATGAAATAAAATCCTATGTTAACACTGGTATAATATATTAAGAGTTCCACATTAGAAGGCAGAAAGATAGGACAAAATACACACACTTAAAGTTGCCTGTCTGAAAGTAAGGAAGAAGAGTGGATGAGAGCCACACAAAAAAAAAAAAAAGGAAAAGAGAAGCTACAGCAAAATGGAAAAATATTTATGGTAAAATTGTGGATAAAAAGTGGTTTGAACGCACTGTTAAGTACATTAGACCTAAGGATCTTACCTTGTTTTTGCCTGTGCAGCCATCAATTTCAGTTACTTTGTGGCATTCTTTCATACAAGTATGATTCTGACAATTTAAGATTCGTCCACAGACTCTCTTACAAGAGTAAGGTCCTACAGCATGGCATGGTAGTGGACTTATCTAAAACAAAATAGGTAAATCAGTACAACACAAACAGAAACTTTTGTACTCATATTTCTGAAATGACTTTGCTATCATTTAAGAACAAGTTTCAAAGAGGTCTAGCAAGTTTTCACTAAAACACTTATAATTAACTAAAATCTACAAACCCAAAGCTTTGATCATAAATGGTAAGGAAAATAGTTCTGACTCTCAATACTGCCCATTACAATAACCAACACCAAACCAAACCTGCTGCCATCAAGTTCTATCCAACTGAAAGCAACGCTACAGGACAGAGCACAGGTGTCCCATGGGTATTCCAAGGCTGAAATGTAAATGGAAACAGAATGCCTCATCTTTCTCCTGTGAAGTGGCTGGTAGGTTTGAACCACCAATCTTTTCGTTAGCAGCTGAATGCCTTAACTGTCATGCCACCAGAGATACAGCTTTGCTTAATACAAACTAATTGAGTGACCTTGTTGTGGTTGTTGTTGTTGATGAATTCATAGCTACTCTGCCTTAAGTTTCTGAGGTGATATCACTACAGAAGTAGACTGCCCAACGTTCCTTCTGAGGAGTGGCTGGTGAGTTTGAACCGCAGCCTTCTGGTTAGCAGTCAAGTACCTTAGGCACTACGCTACCTATCAGAGCTCCTAATTGAGGGACCTTAGAGAAGGCAAAATACCTTTCTCCTTAGCTGCCATGAAGACTAAATGAGATAATATGGGTAAAGTGCCTGCCTACTATGTAATAAGGACTCACTGAGTAATAGTTATTATTTAAACCAATGTAACCTACTAAAAAAATTCAGAAGATTGATGCCAAAAAGCAAAACATTACATTCCTAGAAAGTAAATTTAAAATAATTCTGTAGTAAATGCACACAGACAACGTAATTCTCAAGTAAAAGCAGTGCGTATTTTTAAAATTAGTAGATAAATTGTTGTAATCTGCACAACACTAAAATAATAATACTTTGACTTTGTTATTTCTAACAATCCTAATATTGAAGAAGTTATAGAAAAACAGCTTCATTTAGTATCTACTGCCTCACTCACCTCATGTTTCCCAAGACATTCCCTGCAAGGAAAAAGTAAAATATAATGAAATCACTACATTTTTCAAAAAAGATTTCTAAATTAAAGATGGTATTCCCACCAGTACGTTTCATTAAAGGTAAAAAAATAAACGCATACCTAACAAATTTTATTAAATTAAAAAAAAAAAAAAAGGTTTCACTTTAAAAAAATAAATGAAATCTGGTTACTTGCCTCGGTAAAATAATCAAAGGATTTCTATTCTCCCATAAGTACTTACGTACTGTCTAGTTATCTGATGCTGCTGGAACAGAAAACATTAAGTGGATGGCTTTTACAAAGAGAAATTTATTATTTCCTCACAGCTTAGACGGCTAAACATCCAAACTCAGAGTGCTACATCGAAAGAAAGACTTTATCAGCTCTGGGGGACAGTGCTTGTAAGTTTAGCTAGTTCGTGAGGGAGATACCCATATAGCTTGATATAAATTTTCCCCCATCTCTGCTTCTTTTGTTTAATCTCCTTTATATCTCAAAAGAGACTAACTTAAGACAAATTCTAAACTAATCCTGTCTCATTAACATAACAACCAACCCATTCCCAAATGGGACTGAACCCTCAGGCATAGAGGATTTACAACGCATAGTTTAGCGGTAACACAATTCAAACCCTAACACACACTATAAAATATTTTCTGACAAAGCGTATTTGTAAGACAGCTATGGTGAAAACTACTTAATAAATTGGAATAATGAAAAATCTTTTAAAATTATACAGTGACTGTTATTGTTCTTCTAATTTCCTTGATATATTACCACCTAAAAAAGATGGAATTATCGGTATGATCTGGTAAAAAATAATTACCAAAAAACGAGTAACAAATAGTTACTACTTGTCACATAAATGAGAATCTAATGTCACACTAAATGAAAAGCTGGTAACCAAATGTCATGCCTTTTGCCATCACACTACTTTTAAAACTTTCAATGTAGTATTTAAATGTCTGCTCTATGAGATCCTTGGAAGGAAGACTGGGTGATCTACTTCCATACAGATGAGACCGTCTTGGAAACTCAAGGAGTCGTCACTATGAGTTGGAAATGACTCCATGAGAATCGTCAGCACAAGGAATTGTTCTTAGGTGCTGTCAAATGGGATATGACTCTTAGCAACCCTAATACTACAGAATGAAACACTGCCAGTCCTGACCCAGCCTCACAATCCATGCTATGCCTGAATCAATCACTGTAAACATGGTGTCAATCATCTCACTAAGGGCCTTACCCTTTTTCATTGACCCTCTACTTTACTAAGCATGATATCCTTCTTCAGGAAATGGTGCCTTCCAACAACATGACTGCGGTGTAGTAAATTACTTAGTGTGGCTTTTCTACCCTTAAGTCTTTGTAAACTCCAAGGTGGGATTTTCTATGAGCAACTGAGGAGCTCCTGATTGCTGAAGTTGTCCACCTGGAGTATTCCTATTGGGAGTGGCACAAAACAATGTTCTGGAGTATTTCTATTGGGAGTGGCACAAAACAATGTTCTGGGAGGTGCCCACTCTTTCTCACGTGCTTAGAGTTCTGATGCTATGATTGGCTAGTTTGACCACCCTGCCAGGCTCAAAAGGAGACCTCCTAGAGGCAGAACTCTCTCTGACTGCTGGTTGAGGAAGACGTGCTGCCAAAAGAGACACGTGCCCCTGACACGTGCTGCTGGGAAAGAGATGCAAGAGACATGCATCGCTGAGTGAGACACCAAGGGACCAGCACTGCTGGGAAAGAGACTGTGAGAGACTGTTGGCTGAGGGACGGTGGGCTGGGAGAGAGACTGAGCGTTCTTCCTGAACTTGAGTTGTAGCCTGGTGCTTCCCTAATAAACCCCGTGAGTTCTGTGTGGCCACTGCAGTGAATTATCGAACCTAGGAGAGAGGTGGTGGTGCTTTGGGAGGAACGGTTGGAGAAAGGGCTGGAGGGAGGCAGCATGTCTGGCCTGGCAGGAATAGGCCTTGGGTTACTGCTGGTAATCCTGTCTTCCTCTTGTGGGATTAGAGGAGGTCAAAACATGCGGCCACTTCACCGTTTTTGCAATGACCAACATGGCCATTATGGCTTCTAAGGTATATTCTGGCTGCACTCTTTTTCGAGGACAGCTTTGTTCGTTCTGAAGTCCACAGGATTTTCAGTATTCTTCACCAACACCACAATTCAAAGCTATCAAGTCTTCTTCAGTCTTGCTTATTCATTGTCCAGCTTTCACATGCACATGAGGCAAGTGAAAATACCATAGCTTGGGTTAGGAACACCTTACTGGCATCTTTGCTCCTTAACACTTTAAAGAAGTCTTCTGCAGCAGATTTGCCCAGAGCAACATGGCATCTCATTTCTTGACTGCTGCTTTTGTGGGTGTTGATTGTGGATCCAAGTAAAATTAAATCCTTGACTTTAACCTTTTCTCCATTTATTGTGATGTTGGTCTAGTTTTAATAAGGATTTTGTGTGTGTGTGTGTGTGTTAACATGTAATCCATACTGAATGTAGTTTTTGATCTTTCATCAGTATGTGCTTCAAGTCATCTTCACTTTCAGCAAGCAAGGTTTTGTCATCTGCATATCGCAGGTTGTTAATGAGTCTTCCTCCAGTCCTGATGCTGCATTCTTCATTACACAGTCAAACCCTCTCAGATTTGTTCAGCATACACATTGAGTAAGTGTGCTGAAAGGATACAACTTCAATGCACACCCTTCCTGATTTTAAACCATGCAGTATCCTCTTGTTCTGTTTGAATGGCATCCTCCTGATCTATGTACAGATTACCCGTGCACACAATTAAATCATCTGTAATTCCCATTCTTCTAAACGTTATCCATAATTTGTTAAGATCCACACAGTCAAATGTTTTTGCACAGCCAATAAAACATAAGTAAACATCTTTCTGGTGTTCTCTACTTTCAGCCAAGAATCATCTGACATCAGCAGTGATATTCCTACTTCCAAGTCCTCTTCTGAATCCAGCTTGAACTTCTGGAAGTTACCTGCCAATACACTACTGCAACTGTTTTTGAATGATCTTCAGCAAAATCTTATCTGAATGTGATATTAATGATATTGTCCAATAATTTCCACTTTCTGTTGGATCACCTTTCTTCAGAATGGGCACAAATATTGGTTTCTCCCAGTTGGCCAGGTAGCTGTCTTCCAAATTTCTTGGCATAAACCAGTAAGCACCTCTACCACTACATCTGTTTGTGTAAACATTTCAATGGTTATTTTGTCAATTCCCGGAGCTTTGTTTTCACCAAATCCTCCTGTGCAGGTTGGACTTCTTCCTCCAATACCATTGGTTCTGGATCATATGCTACCTTCTGAAATAGCTGTACATCAACCAATTCTTTTTGGTACGGTGGCTCTGTATTCCTTCCATCTTGTTTTGATGCTTCCTGCATCACTTAATATTTTGCCCTTAAAATCCTTAAATATTGCAAGTCAAGGCTTGAATATTTTCTTCAGTTCTTTCACCTTGAGAAATGCCAAATGTGTTCTTCCCTTTTGGTTTTCTAACTCTATGTCTTTTTACATTTTATCATAATACTTTTATCTTTTCAAGCCACCCTTTGAAATCTTCTGTTCAGCTCTTTCATTACATCATTTCTTCCATTCACTTTAGCTACTTTCTGTTCAAGAGCAAGTTTCAGTCTCTTCTGACATCCATTTTCATTTTTTCTTCCTTTCCTGTCTTTTTAATGGCCTTTGCTTTCTTCATTTATGATATTCTTGATGTCATCCCAGAACTCATCTGGTCTTCAGTCATTGGTATTCAAAGCATTATATCTACTCTTCACATGATCTCTAAATTCAGGTGGATATAATCAAGGTTGTATTTTTCTTCCCATGGCCTAAACATAATTTTCCTCATTTTCAACTCAAGCTTACCTATGAGCAATTGATGGTCTGTTCCAGGCCTTATTTTGACTGATGACACTGATCCTCTCCAATAACTCTTTCACATATGTAGTTAATTTGATTCCTGTGTTTTCCATCTCGCAAGGTCCATGTGTACAATCACCACTTACATTGTTGAAAAAGGGTATTTGCAATGAGTGTGTCATTGGTCTTGCAAAATTATATCATGAGATCTCCAATCATTCATATTGCCAAGGCCAGGTTTTCCAACTACTAATGTTTCCTCTTTGTTTCCAACTTTCGCATTCCAAACATCGGTAATTATCAATACATTTTGACTGCAAGTTTGGTCAATTTCAGACTGTAGAAGTTGGTAAAAATCTTCAATATCTTCATTTTTGGCTTTAGTGGTTAAGTATAAATTTGAATAATAGTAGTATTAACTAGTCTTCTTTGCAGGCATATAGATATTATCCTATCACTAACAGCACTGTATTTCAGGACAGATCTTGAAATGTTCTTTTGATGATGAATGCAATGCCATTCCTCTTCAGTTTGTTATTCCAGGCACAGGAGACCATGAGCGTCTGATTCAAAATGGCATAATTCCCTTTTAGCTCACTATGCCTAGGATACAGATCTTTATTCATTTCATTTCATTTCATTATGTCAGCTTCCAATTTTCCTAGATTTCATACTTCGAACATCCCATGTTCTGATTATTAATGAATGTTTGCAGCTGTTTCTTCCCATTTTGGGTCATACCGTATCAGCAAATGAAGGTTCCAGAAGCTTTATACCATCTTTGTCATCATTAAGGCCAACTCTACTTTGAGGAGACAGCTCTTTCCCAGTTGTATTTTGAGTGCCTTCCAACCCGAGGGGTTCATCTTCCAGCACTATATCAGATAATGCTTCACTGCTATTCATAACGTTTTCAGTGACCAAGTTTTTCAGAAGTGGATGGCCCTGTCCTTCTTCCTAGTCTTTCTTAGTCTGGAAGCTCTGTTGAAACCTTCCACCATCGGTGACTCTGCTGGTATTTAAAATACTAGTGGCATAGCCTCCAGCCTCACAGCAACATGCAAGCCACCACAGTATGACAAACTGACAGTCGAAGCATAAAGAATAGATTCCAAT